GGCCAGCCCAGAAACCCAATCCGAGTAATGACATGTAGACATGAGAATCTTCACTTTCCCCTTCCTCCTCTTGCTAAAATACCCACAAATTTCTTCTTACTAAAATGCCCACAAAGGTGCAGATAACATCTGTTACTGTTTCAACAATCCAGGACCTAAACCTGCAACTCTAAATTCTGAATCTTGAGATTTTGGGGGACAAAAACCTTTTATTTGGGAAATACAAATTCAGTTGTTAAACTCAGAGAGACATTAAAATGAGAGCACAGTTTTGTCTTCTTTTCACCTTTGAACTATATTCATCTCTTAAAACTGTTTGCTGTTGCCGTTAATTAAATGACAATAGCTATAAATTAAACTACTAATGTCACACCGGACACTATAACCCGTACCCTAAATCTTAACAATGTATATCCAATCAATAACTAATGTTATTTCTGTAAATAAATAAGAATGTTTGTATCAGCCCATTCTCTATCCTTCTATTTTTACCTTTACAAATTCACTGGTAACTACTGCTAATTAAAATATAGATTCCAGGCAACTTGAATGTTTGCTTTCAAGTTACAATCCTCGTGTTTGGCCCAAATACACTGTCTACTCATATTCATGTTGACTCGGCTTTTTCTTTTTAGGTAGACATATCACTTAGAATGTACTACAGCAGCTGTAAGAGTGGCTTTCTCATTTGATTGTACTCCATTTGCTGTAACACCCAAGAATGTAGAGCCTGGTTGATCCCACCTAGAATCTGCCTACCTGTAAAATGTGATTCTGTAGTACAGTATTCTTCTCTTTCCTCTTACCCAATAGGTAGCTACTCAGGACAAGGTGATCCACGTTCTAAGGCTACACCAGGGAAGTTCTATTTTCTGTTTAGAATAAGCCTGAGTTTCCCCTGCCTGGCTTACCATTGGGCCATCAGCCCAGGCTCACTGGAAACCTCTCACAATCACCTGGGTGTCATTGAGAAATTCGAGGATGTCCAGAGCAGAACTGTGTCAGTCAGAGAAGAGCGGTTAATTCTTGTAAGTCTCAGTGTAAGAGAAATGAATCAGCCTGTGTGTGTTCCTCCTCTCATACAAAAGATGTCTTTGGTATCCAGATGAAAGTTTCTCGAGTTTCCTGGTAGTTGGGTAAAACACAAGGTCTGGAGACTCAAACAGATAAAGTGTTTTTTATTTTTTATGGCCACTCAGAAAATATTTGAAGCAGTTATGGTTTTTACCATCCAGGAACTTTTAGTCTAGACTAGACAGGATACATTGTTGAATTAGGAGTCATATGGTTGGGGCCAAGTGCGGTGGCTCAAACCTGTAATCCCAGCACTTTGGGATGCTGAGGAGGGTGGATCAAGTGGTCAAGAGTTCAAGACCAGCCTGGCCAAGATGGTAAAACCCCATCTCTACTAAAAATACAAAAATTAGCCAGGTGTGGTGGTAGGTGCCTGTAATCCCAGCTACTCTGGAGGTTGAGGCAGGGAATTGCTTGAATCCAGGAGGCGGAAGTTTCAGTGAGCTAAGATCACATCACTGCACTCCAGTCTGGGTGACAGAGCAAGACTACATCTCAAAAGAGGAAAAAAAAGAAAAAAAGAATCATATGGTTGGTGCAATAAATAGATGTGTGCACAAAACCTTAGGCTTTACTTGGGCCACTTTATGTTTTTGCAACTTCTGATGTCATCACCTTAAGAGATATTTAGGGACAGAATAGTTGTTATTACTATTTGTATTTATTTTACCTTGCTAGGAATACATATTTATCCTCTTAGAAATTACCTTGGAAAATCTTAAGAGATTTGTTTTAATTGCTTATTAGTACATGTTATAAAATTGACAACACAGTGGCTAAAAAAGATTAAAATTACACAAATTCTGGCATTGAAATTTCTCCTAGGTAAACTTAGAAAAAACAGAACTGGAGATGCCCCCCAGAGGCATAGAGCGCAGAATTCTACATAGGGTATTTTCCCTGACCCATTTCTGTTCAGATTCACCTTATTTGGGGGCCTCATTTAGATCTGCCCCCCCGCCTTGGAGTCGTGCCTCAGAGAACTGATTAGAGAAAATCAGAGTTTTGGTTGGTGAATCCTCGTACCCTTCCTTCCTTCCTTCCTTCCTTCCTTCCTTCCTTCCTTCCTTCCTTCCT